AGCCCACCCTTGCAACCTATCCAGGTCTTTCTGCAGTCTTTCCCTCCCTACTAGCATGCCCACCTCACCCCAGATTTTGGTATCATCAGCGAATTTGAACAGGTTGCTTATGATACCAAAATCGTCTAAATCGCTGATAAAGAAATTGAATAGCGCGGGCCCAAGGACTGAGCCCTGGGGGACTCCACTGCCCACTGCCCCCCAGGTCGAATATGACCCGTCCACCACCACCCTCTGAGTACGACCCTTCAGCCAATTCGCAATCGATATGACCGTGTAGGCATCGATGCCACAGTTGCCTAGTTTTTTAACGAGGATGGGGTGAGAGACAGTGTCACAGGCCTTGCTGAAGTCCAGAAAGACTACATCCACGGTGACACCTGCATCCAATGCTTTTATGACCTGATCGTAAAAGGCAATCAGGTTGGTCTGACATGACCTGCCCCTAATGAAACCGTGCTGGTTGCCCCTCAGCATCACCCCTGATGCTGGCCCATCACAGATGTGCTCCTTGATGATCTTCTCAAAGAGTTTCCCCAGAATTGAGGTAAGACTGATGGGTCTTCCGTCAGTTGCCCGGGTCCTCCCTCCTCCCTTTCTTAAAGATGGGGACCACATTGGCTATCTTCCAATCATCTGGCACCTGGCACGAGCACCACGAGTGCTCGTAAAGCCATGCCAAGGGCCCTGCAATAACCCCTGCTAGCTCCCTCAACACCCTGGGGTGGAGAGCATGTGGACCTGCTGACTTGAACATATCCAGCCCCTCCAGAAGCACTCTAACCCGGTCCTCCTCAACCTTAGGTCTTGGGGTGTTCCCCTCGAGTCTGTCTTGAATCACGGTGGGGGAGTCCCGGTCCCTGCCCAAGAAAATGGAGGTGAAGAATTTGTTAAAGATGTTTGCCTTCTCTTCTGGCGCGACCACCAGATTGCCCAGCGTATCTTGCAGGGGCCCCACATTTCCCGGTCACTTCTTCATCCTCCCTATATATTTGAAAAAGGACTTTTTATTATCCTTGATCTTGGACGCTAGTCCTAGCTCTATGTCCGCCTTAACTTTCCTAACAGCCCCCCTACAGGCCCCCTACAGGCCGAGCAGTGGAGGTATACTCTTCTTTGGAGATAGTTCCCCCCTTTTTGGCAACCAAGCATTCCTGGACTTCCTTGGTGAGTCAGGGAGGCTTTTGGGCACTCTTGCCCCCCTTGCTTCTTGTTGAGATTGTCACCTCTTGGGCCCTGAGTTCCCCTGCCCTTGAGAACCCCAGCGCCTCTCCCACCAATCTCCTCAACTCGTTTAAGTTGGCCCTCTTGAAGTCTAGGGCTACCACCTTGCTGTAGGCCCTTGACACCCTGCGCTGGATGATGAATTCCAGCAAGCAATGATCACTATCACCCAGGTGGTCCAGGACCTGGAGCCCCCTTACCAGATCACCTGTGGCCAGGACCAGGTCCAACAGGGCATTTCCTCTGGTGAGACTGTGCACTTCCTGGGTGTATATATAGGCATGTACAGTTGGTCTTACACAGGGAGTGCCAAGATATAGTTACCCTTTATATAGCAAAAGCCAACATGTTTCATGAATATTTCACCCAAAAATGGATGATACAATATAGCCCCTACCAATATAGACTTCCTACCAACACCTGGTAAAAGGCTTTACTATATACTGAATTGACTACTGCTACCACCACAAGAGGAGAAAGACTATAAGAGACTCAGCTTTTACTCTGGTGAGAATGTGGGAGCGTGACCTGGCTGGAGGCATAAGTCACAACCTGAATAACCATTGTTCAAAAGAAGAGAGATCTAGAGAAGCCACAACATCTAGGTTTCTTCAGTGCTCCAGAGCTGACTATCCCATCCTGTTCCTAAGTAGTCTGAATCCATTAATGTTCAATGGGTACCTCCCTTGCAGAGCTGGGCTTAACATAGGGAGTATTTCTGGAGAAAAGCAGAATATTTGACTATTTTATTGCTCATTGTTGGCCAGGTTTTCATCTTTATATGTGAGTTTGATTCTATTCCCAAGTAATTTGGTTTCAGACAATTGTTAAGGCCCCTGGAATATGCCTAAGAATATTTTGAGCTAAATCAATAAATAAAATGAAGGGAGTCCATCTCCACCACCACAAAACACAAAAAAGGAAATCAAAACAATGTGTGTTAGCACAGAAGCCGGTCCAGTTGAAAAAGCTACAGGTTCTTTCTAACCAGAAGTAACAAGATTTTCATTGGAAAAAAAAAATCTAACAGGTCAAACATTTGGTAGTTTTTGTTAAATATCACATTTCCCTGGCTACTTACATCCTCATCTGGATCCTCCAATTCTTCTGCTTCTTGCTCAGGACTGACCCTCCCTTCCTTCCATTTTTCATTGTCTGAGTTGAATTTGTACAGATTGCCACCGTGAACACTTTCCTTTCCCCTTAATGAAGCCCAGCGAGAGCTCTGAGAACTCCAATTGCGACTGCCATAGAGTTTAGGAGACTTGGGAAGCCATTTAATAGAATACTGTAAAGAAAAATAAGACAAGATAATGGGCAATGAATAGATTTTTTTAAATGTTAATATCTGTATTACAAGGAGATAGTCCGGCAAGTATTATGGAACACTTTAACACCGTGTTCACAAGAACTTGTACACTTAACATGTCTTTATGCCAAGAGAGAGACTTTCTCAGTCAACAGGCTCTACTGGTAATATGGGGCATGATCAAAAGGTAATCAAAATTAATAAAAAGTTTTCCATTAAGTTCAACTGGGATTGAATCAGGCCCACAGTCAGAAGAGCTAACTGCTCACAATAAGTGAAGCTATTTGTAATAGCACCATCTCCTGGCCTCTCTATGTAGATATGCTAGCTAATCTATTAAGAACAAAGAGCAAAATGCAGAGGTTACCAGTAGTTTTCTGCTTCTCTTCTATCTTTTAATTAAGAATCACAAACAGTCAATTCTTCATTTTCACCTCCCTTTGAATACAATGTTATTTGAGAAGCATCCATTATAAGATAAAATGTTAGATTCAACTTTTAAAGGAACACTGATTTCCAAAGCATGGTGAAAAATGTTAAGCATAAAAACGTAAACCCGCAAACTCTGCACCCTACTAAAATTAACCCACTTTTCATAACACAGAGAAAGTATTATTGATTTACTCCACTTAAAAGTCATTGAAAAATCCTAACCTCTCCCTCCCATACATAAAATAGATTTCATAGACATTAGGGCTGGAAGGGACCTCTCAAGATCATCGGGTCTAGCCCTCTGCCCAAAGGGCAGAAAGTCAGCTGGGGTCAGATGACCCCAGGAAGATAATCATCCAAACACTTCTTGAATGTGTTGAGAGTAGGTGCTTGCCACTTCTGAGGGGAGTCTATTCCAGACTCTGGAGACTCAGATGGTAAAGAAGTTTTTTCTCATGTCCAGTCTAAAATGGTCTTCCAGCAGTTTGTGACCATTTGACCGTGTCTTCCCTTGGGGTGCCCTGAACAGACATTCTCCCAGATCCTGATGCATACCACTTATGTACTTATAGGCTGCCACCAAGTCCCCCCTGAGCCTACACTTCTCCAGACTGAAGAGTCCCATGCCTCTCAGCCTCTCCTCATAAGGCCTGCTCTCTCGACCTCTGATCATACATGTGGCTCTCCTCTGGACTCTCTCAAGCTTTTCCACATCCTTTTTCAAGTGTGGAGCCCAGAACTGGATGCAATACTCTAGCTGCGACCTCATCAAGACTGAGTAAAGCAGGAAGATGACATCTTGGGTCTTGCTTGAGATGCATCAGTAGATGCAAGCCAAGATTTTATTTGCTTTGCCAGCTGTGGCATTGCATTGGTAGCTCATATTCATTTTGTAGTCAGTCATGACCCCCAAGTCTCTTTCAGTCATGGTGGTAGTGAGTGTAGCCTATAGGTAAGATGTGGGCTCTTTCTCCTGAGGTGAAGCACTTTACATTTCTCTGTGTTGCATGTCTTCAGGTGTTGGTCCGCCCACCTTGCAAGCCTGTCCAAGTCGGCCTGAATCCCCAGTGTATCCTCTGGAGTGACCGTGCTTCCTCATTTCAGAACTTTTTACCATTTTACAAGATGGGTATTCTAAAAAATGTGCTCTTTAAAATGAGTGGAAGCAGTTATAGATCAACAAATAGACACATGCTCTCTTTGAACTAACTCAAGAGTCCTGAGATAATGAGAAGCCTGCAAAAGAAGTGGAAGGTCAGGAAGTTAGTGATGGGTTGGCATCAAGACATTTAATATGCACTTCCATAGTGTCTTCTATCTGAGGATCTCAAAAGCATGTTAATCCAAATTAAAGACAAATAATTACTGTAATTCATACAGGCAAGGTTCTGTGTTTTTTTTAAGGGGATAGGGATAATACCTTTTATTGGAGCAACTGCATCATTGGGAGAAATCTTAGACAAGCTTTTTGAGCACAATGTATCTTTCCAGTTCATCAATATATTTCTGTTTTACAGATGCGACAATAGGCACAAAGACATTAGAAGTCTGGCATGTTCTTATAAGAAGCTTACATCACATTAATACTTCAATTTTCTTGCTCTTAAAATAGTTCATTGTCTAAATCTACCAGAGGGAATACAGGAAATCCCCATGTTAAAATCTTCACTATAGGTAGATTTTTAAAAATTTCACTAAGTTAAATATTTTTTTAAATGTCAAAATATTCTAAAGTGAGAGACAACATTTGGATATCCAACATTTGAAAGGCTTCTGATTTTCAGAGGTATAGGTACATAGCATTTTCTGAAAGGTGGTGTATGATATGTCATTGCAGTAAGGATGTCCAGAACTGAAAGGAAGCACAACCACTCTGAATTTCTATTGAATATCTTGTTCTGAATCTGCACATTTCCATTCACATAAAATTAAATAAACAGCTAAGAATTGTGAAATACAGGATTGCATTGGCTAAATATATGCACTAGTCAATTACAAATGAGACACCCAAAAATAATATAGGAAACACTAAACCTTTCTTTCTTTATGTCTTCTTTTAGACACCTACTGAATTAATTGCCCAGTCTAATCTTCTTGCTACGGCCAAGAGAACTTGACACATTTTCACGCTAGATCCCATAATACAATTTACAAATACATTTTCCTAACCACTGCAAAGAACTTTTTCTGTGCTTAAGATAATTCTTCCTTGTGAAGGAGAGGCAAAAATCACAAAAGGGTTGTATTAAGCTCATCTGTGCTACTTTCACACTGAATTTCCCACTGAAAATATTCAAACTAAAATATTGTTTTAATCTTGCTTTCCCTTTCAGGTAGGCAAAGTATATCAATAACTACTATATAACACAGAGCATGCAAATACATGCCAGACACATGCACTAGTGAGGCACAGATATGAAGAGAGAGTGAGCAGTAGAAAAGGATCCTTCAAGAATATCCCATCTTAAACACATGGTGGCACACACAATGTTTAAGCTGCTATCTATCTGATTTAAGTTTAATAAAAGGTTTTCTTATTGATTTTTTTCCTCTTTTTTAATGCAGCATCATTAAAGTCACATGATGCTTTTTCACATGTGGGCATGAGTAGTACTGGTGTCAGCACCCTAGGAATTACAATCTGTTTTAGCCATAATACATCAAAGGAGGATAATAAAAGGATTAGGAAGGGAGCATAGGAAGGCAAGGGTTGCAGCGTTGAAAGATCTTGCAATATGATTGTTAAACAGGTTGTTCCTCTTAAAATGTTTCTTCCTTTGTAATAGGAAAAATAAGCAACAAAACTAGGACCTACGCAATAATAGTTCCATGAGAAATACAGGACAAAGGGTCAGATTCTTCACAGACTTTTTTCCTAATACCTCCCCAAAACAGAAATCTAAGCATTCCCATTACTCTACTTCAATGGGGACCCTTTGCCTCAGATGTAGAAAATCAAGAATACTTTCTCTCACTTGTCAGAGTACTCAAAATTGCAGACTAGAAACAACTGATCAACAAACTGGGTTTAAGAAAACAAAGGAAACATCTGCATTAGGGGCTTTCACTCATGAAGACTTAGGAAGACAGAAGGTGGGATTCTCCATGGCATTTTTTGCTGTCATTTTTCAATTCACAGCATATAAGAAAAGCTCCTATATCCACCACTCTGCATATTCCTTTCAAGAAAGTGTTGGAAGATAAGAACTCTAACCAGATATATTGATTATAAGAAAAACACATAGGAGATCCTAGATCTGCAGCATGTCACTGGAATATGATTTCAATTTAGAAATGGGTTTGGCTGTGGATCTGAGCTTCTCTGACTTTTAGAAAGCTTTAAATTGTTGTATATTTTGCATCCAGTATCATTAGAAACCCCTAAAAGCAGAGTTTATTGTGAATATAGACATAAGTGTGAGGAAAGGTATGGAGCTTTTTTATTTTTCAAAGGCTTATTGCAGGGTGATATGCATGGAATAGAGAATGTTCAGTGTTGTGCAGATTAAAAAATCCAGAGGCAAGCTCCCTAGACAGTGGTTTCACGATCCTTCTCCGTGCTTGCATAAAACCACATGAATCAACAACACTACAGAATAGAGCAAGTTCTTAGTTATATTCACCATAACACATCAAGCAATGAAGAGAGTAATAGAAAAATAGGGTTGGATGGTCATCTAGTCCAGGGGTGGCAACTTGTAGCATAGATGATGACACAGGAGGGCATTGGTAGGCTATGTATATGGCATGTAGAAGACTGGGGAGGGAACAGGCAGCACCCTGGCAGATAGGACAGGGAGAAGAAAGCAGTGCAGAGAACAGGAAGCTGAGCAGCAGATCAGATATGGAAAAGGAATTGGAGTGGTACTTAGGGAAAATGCAGGGCTAATTTGTGGCATGCATGACCTAAAGATAGGCCCTCACTGATCAAATCCAACCAGCTCAAGGCAGAATCATCTCTGCCTAAACCATCTCAGACAAATGTTTGTCTAACTGCACTTAAAGGATCTCCCAGCCCAAGCCCTGTGACTGCAAAACTCATGCTGGGAGATAAGGATCTCTCAGCGCCGGCCCTGTGGTCATAGAGCTCCCTGGATGATAAGGATCTCCCAGCCCAAGCTCTGTGGTTATGGAGCTGGCGCTGGGAGCTCCCAGCCAGTGGAGGATCATAGAGCTGAGCAAGGAACAAACTCCTCAGCCTGTTCCCTGCCCAGCTCTTCATTTGTGAAACTGACCAGGCAACAGACTCTCCAGCCCCAACCCTGTGATCATGAGCAGGGGCTGGGAAATGTCCCATTCAAGGGCAGGCCCCAACCTTGCACCCTGAGATCAGGCAATTGAGGCATGGAGCCTGGAAAGAGCTGCAGGGCTGGTGCAGGTCTTAGCCCCCTGCCCTCTCCACTGGTATAGCAGCTAGTAGTGACCTAACTCACTACTAGCCACCCCCCCTGCAGCTCTTTCCAAATCTCCTGCCCCAGTTATGGAGCCAGGGCTGGGAGCTCCATGCTGCCAGGGCTGGGAGACATTGTCCTCGCCCTGACAACAGGCAACCTCCCGGGGCAGCAACAATGTTCCAGCCCTGGCCAGGAGATAGCCTTATGCTCCTCGTGGTGGTGGCAGGCATTCATTGCAGGGCTACAGGAAGTAGAACCAGTTTGCTGCTAGGAGCAGCAAATCTACTCCCACGTCCCTGCATGTGTAGATGCCTGCTCAGGAGCATTTACTCATAAGTAGTTTATTCATAAGTAAACTGATCTCAGATCAAATGCATGTGTAGATGTGCCATCTGAGACCATACTAAATCGGTGAAATGTTAAGTGGCACTGAAGTGAGAATGTAGCGTGAGCAGTCACTCATTAAGGGTTAATACCATTTCTTGCCTATACCTCTGCCTTACTACTAGAAGGCTGGAAAGCAGGGGCATGACTAGGGGCCAGGATACCTGGGCTCTTTCC